ATGTGTGTGTGTGTGTGTGTATGTATGTGTGTGTGTGTGTTAAATATTATCAACAATATATATATATATATATATATATTAAATACATACAAATATATAACAAACAAAATAAAAAATCTTATACAAGTTATAACAAATTAAATACAAATAGATTTATTGAAAATAAAATCACATTTTTATTATTATTTTTTGTTTGGCGACGATTTTCTCACTGATTATAAATTATATGAAAATAAGATAAATAATTTGTTTTTTTGTCGGTATTATATATATTTTAAAATGTGCTATTGATTTACGATATTTCGAAAGTTATATATGTAAAATATATATATATATATCATTATACTATAGTATAACTTATACTGTATATATTGAAAAATGCAATTTAAATGGCCAACAATTTCCACCCCATTTATTTCAGACATAAATTAGTCAATATATATATATATATATATTGTACATATATAGACCATTTCACATATTTGCACCGTATGTTTTAAGCATATTTATGTTATAGTGTGTGTGTGTGTGTGTGTGTGTGTGTGTGTATACTTCACATGCCAAGCACCGGGCGATTTGATCGATGACTTTCTCAAACCATACCCTTAGGTATAAATCAATTAATTATTGCATTTTGTTAGCTTTCTCTCTCTCTCTCTCTCTCTCTCTCACTCACTGGCAATGCTTAAAACCCAGCTAAAAAATTTGTATTATATTATTAATACACAGTATTTATGATTATTATATCAAAGTTTTTAAAATATATATAATATATATATAAATAGATGATGAATAGATACATCTAAAAAGCTTATGTAGTCTATAAATAGATTAGATTTTTTATATTTATCATATAATAAACTTTATATATTAAACATTATAATATTTTAAATATTAGATTGTATTATATTTTTACATATATTGGTAGTCTATAAAACTATAAATTAGACAACAATTATATAAATATATATACTGTATATATATATATTGATGAAAAATGTGTTTCAAAAAAAATCAAATGTGTTTAAAAACCATTTATAACATTTATAGAAAAAAAATAAATAATTATGTCATTGAAATAAATCAATACAACTTATATATAACTTATTTTTTAATTAATTATATTTAGTATATAATTAATCAAACATCAAAAAACTTTTTTAAAAACTGATTTCAATAGAAATTTCCAAAATGACATGAATGAATTCAAATATTTATATATATATATATATATATATATATATATAATATACAAAAAAAATGTGGATATAATTAATTGATTATCATTTATCAAAATTTTTTTAAAGAAATATCGTTTAACATTCAAACAACTAATGTGTGAATGAAATAAAATTTAAAATTTTTCAACAAAAAAAAACAGAAACACATTCAAAATATATACAAAAAAATTATTAATATATTTAATATTTAGCGGTTATTCACACACACACATATACATACAAAATCACTAGACATTTATATATATATATATTATATATATATATCAATATATGTTATGCAATATTATTTAAAATATTTTTAAAGTTAACTATTTTTAATTCAATGTCGACTCCATGTGCTATTTGGTATACATGTATATATATATATATATGTATGTATGTGTGTGTATGTGTGTTGTGTATACATGTGTGTGTGTGTGTATGTGTGTTGTGTATACATGTGTGTGCATATATGTATGTATGTGTGTGTGTGTGTGTGTGTAGGGGAGTGTTGTAACAGTGTTTAACAGAGGGGTCGGTTGGTTGGTTGGGGTGTTGAGTGAGATATTTTGACAAATTGTTGGTTCAAAACTACTAACAATTTTTCAAAAAAAAACATACATTTAATTTATCTACACTATCAGTATATTTGTACTATATATTGGGGGGAAATACAGTAATTGTAAAATAATTTTAATTAAATATTTTTTGCTTTCAATCAGTATTTAATTTTGTTGTTAAATGTTTGAAAAATAAATGAAATGTATTTTAAAAAAAAAGAAAAATCGTTAATCAAAAAACAATATCCATTAAACATGTACTCTCTCTCTCTCTCTCTCTCTCTCTCTCTCTCTCTCTCTCTCTCTTTCTCTCTCTCTCTATACTTATAGATATTTCAAACATTTTTGAGTGTAATTTTTAATTTAGTTTTTTTTTATATTTGTTATTTGTTTGTAAAGTAATTTGTTTGAGATTTTCTTAAAGTTAAAAATTTTCAAAATATTTTTGTCTTTAAAGTATTTATCACTTACTCTCTCTCTCTCTCTCTCTCTCTCTCTCTCTCTCTCTTTCATACAGAAAACTATAACTTATTTCCAAAAACTTTATTTAATTTTGTTTTTACAAAACAATTAGAAATATTTAAATAATTTAATAAGTCATTAATTATATATATATTTTTGTGATTTATTTTACTATCGATTTAATAACATATAACAAATATTATATAACTTTTAAATATTTTTTAAAACTACTTTTTAACGACTATTAATAAATAAGTTTAACATATAATTTGTTTAATCAATTAAATTGTATGATTTATTTAAATATGTTTTGATATGTGTGTAGTTTAGTTTATAATATTTTAATAATTATGTTTAACTTAAAAAAATTATTTAACTAATTACATCAAATTTATTAAATCAAAACATATTATGATAAACAACAACAATAAAAAAAATTAATAAAGATTGATTAATACAAACACATATATAAAATAACATATAAATTATATAAGTTTTTTTTCTAACAACAAAAAATAAATTTAAGATAAAATTTTATGAATATTTTTTGTTTTGCATAAAAAATAATCACTATTTTATGTCAGTTATTAAAATCCACTTTAAAACTAAACAAATTTTATTATTTTTTTAAATAATTTATAAATCTCTATATGTATATAAATATGACCTTAATTTGAGTTATTTAGTTATGTTTTTTGAATATAAATTTTTATTGTTTTTGCTTTTAATTTCATCAAAAAAATAAAAAATAAATAAATTAAATTGAAATATAAATACATATTTAAAAATTTTTAAAAACTAAACGATAAAATCGCACATAATTTGATGATAATTTTAGTTTTATATGTAATAATAATAATTTTTTTTCTTCTAAAAAAATAATATTTATTAAAAATTTTGCAATATTTTTTAGTAGTTTAAAGATTAAACATAAAAATTTTACATAAATAATAATAATGATAATAAAATGTTTAACAAATTATTTAACATATTTAACTATTTATTTTTTTTGAAAAAAATTGATAACAATTTTTTTTAGTATTACAGTAATAATATTTTATTTTAATTTTGTTGATGGATTAGATAATTGATAGTAATATATATATTATATATATATATATATATAAACATAACATATATATACAATAATCAAGTGCTAAATCTAATGGTTAATAATTCATAAAAATTGTCATAAAAATTGTAGTTTAAAACTATAAAATACAAGATTATTATATACCATATATATATAATATTAAATATTTTACATAATTATTTTCAATTTAATAATTTTTAAAAATTAATGATAGATCATTGATATAATCAAAAAATGATATATTATTTATAATATATATTAATATTTTTTGACGCATTGCTGACACAATTAAAACAAGATATTTCATTATATACTTTATATACAGTATATATAAATAATTATTTATTATACTGTATATGGATATACTGTATATATATACATAATATCAATATTAATATTATATATATATTACACATAATATATTAAATTCAAACAATTTTTAAGTCAAGTGAAAGTTTTAATTAAAATTAATTACAAATAACAACAAAATTTGTTTTAAAAACTAATCTATCATTTTGTTATTATTATTATTATTATTGTTTTATTTCTATATAAAATATAAATATTATTTCTAACACAATATTTTTTTTTACAAAATCATTGATAGCTTACTATTGTTTATATGATATATGAATAGAAAAAAATTTATTATTAATTAGATTTTTGTTTTGTTTGTTGTAATTTACATAATTAAAAAACGTATGCATTTAATTTATCAATATTATTATTATTATAATAATTTAATGATATTAATCACTACAATTGTTAATTAATTATGTGTAAACAAATTAACAATTTTTTTGAATAATAACAAAAAATTGTTTATTTTATGGAAAATTATTATTATTTCTATAAAATTATTTAAACAACTAATATATATAGATTTTAATTTTTGTTTATGTAATATATGGTAATATTATTTTGTTTTTTAAAATTATTTTTTTATGATTTTATCTATTAGATTTGTCGATTTTATTTTTTTTGGTTATATGTTTGAAATTGAAAATTTTATAATTATTAGGATGTTAATTTAAAAAAAAATATTTATTTATTAAACAAATATATATATATATAATAAACATATGATATTATAAAACTGATACTATATTAATGCTGTATAAATATTTTTAATACAAAAAAAAATTATTGATAATAAAAATAAAATGTTTATATAATTTGCATTTTTTTTACTTATTTATTTCAACATTTATTAAAGCTATACAATTATCAAAATAATTGTAAAAAATTAAATTTTTATTGTTATTTATAATCTAATTTATTATTATTAACTAAATTGTAATAATAATAATATACAATAAAATAAATATTTAACAAAAATATATAAATATATATAAAAAACTTCAAATCAATTGTAATGATAATCCCAGTGTTGTTGTTGTCGTTGTCGACACTATTGTCGATGATATCAACTGTAATGATGGCCAACAAAACTGATGGTCAACTTCACCATAACTGGACACTGGTCTGGAGTGACGAGTTTAACAACAATAACATAACAACACTAGACTATAGCGAATGGATAGCCGATAGTGAATGGACTACCCGTCGGTGTTGGGGTATATATATATATAACTAGCAAACCATAGCCTATCCAACTAAACAAATATAAGTTAATACTATTGCTTTGGGTGTGTGTGTGTAGGTATGGGCGACGTAGGACTGATCAACTGTTTTGTAAATGAAACGAAAAACATACGTGTCGTCAACGGTTGTCTGGCCGTAACGGCCGCCCGCGAACCGCAGGAACGTTACGGTATGCAATATACGTCGGCCAAGTTGACCACTAGACGCAGTTGGCGGTACGGCCGATTTGAAATGCGGGCCGCATTACCGCGCGGATCAATGTTACGGCCATCGGTATCGCTTGAGCCGCTAGTCTATCGCGATCCGTGGCCATTGGCTGGCCAAATCGATATTATGACCTATGTCCAGCGTAATACACTCGGCAATAACGTACACTACGGTAATCCACGGGTAACCATACCGATGAACTACGAATATGTGGCCACCAGTGATGACGTTAGGTTCTGGGAGTTTCATGTATACGCTGTCGAGTGGACACCCTATGAAATTGGCTGGTTTTTTGACAATTACAATCATAAAACGGTTAGTCTGAACGGTAGCCGAGAGCCGGGAATGGGTGAACCGTTTGACAAGCCGTTCAAGTTTACACTGTCGTTGGGTGTGGGCGGCCGTTTTTTTACCAATCAGATACTGGACATGGATGGCTACTATGATTGGCAGTGTTCGGCAATGATTGTCGACTATGTTAGGGTTTACCAGAAACTACAAGTCGTCGACAATACCATCATCAACAACACCACCAACAATGACATACATTTGACGGATAATATCGAAAAATATAAGATCTGTCGGCAAATAATGACTGAAATTAGAGGCGACAAACCAATACCCAAGTCGTCGTCATCGTTGTCAATGTCGACGACGGTGTCGACATCTGAGTTGTCGCCGCTGACCATTGGCCTGGTAGTCGGTGCCGTAGTACTCATACTTGTCCTGATTATACCGGTTGTCGTATTTTTGTGTATTAGACAGAGTAGAGTATTGAAGATCCGGGATAGGGATCAGGATTACGAGGACAGGTATTACGATGACATTGTCACTGCTGGCAGACCGCATGGGATGTCCGCTGTTGTCAATGAATATAGTGAACCCAATGAGCTATACGGCGATAACAACTATGCCAGTTATGACTATTCAAAGTGCGGTGACGACGCCGATAGTAAAGCACCGGTACCTCCGCGGCCTAAATCCTATGATCAAAGGTATCTGGAGATGACTTGTCGTAAATAAATCAGAGATTTTTTTTTGTTTGTTTTAAAAATAACATTTTAATATTTTAATTATTTTATAAAATTTGAATTTTTTTTTTGCTGATTTATATATAAATTTTGTAACTAAATACTTGACTTTAATGTTAATATATATTTTTTTTTTTTGATTTTATAATTTGGGGTTTTTATTAATAATTTTTATTTTAAAACAAAATTAATTGATTGAGTGAATTGGGAAAGTCATCGACCAAATGGTGTGTCAAAAAAAAATATAAGATATATATATATATTTAATCAATACATGAAAATATATAATCAATACAACAATACAATGAGAGAGAGAGAGAGAGAGAGAGAGAGAAGTTAATTAACAGATGTTTCAATTCAATACTTAACAATAGATTTATATATAATATATTTTTTTTCATTGAATACAATACACAATACATTACACATACAAACAATACAAATCAATTGTCTGTATATATATATATATATATATATATATATATATATATATATATATATATATATATATATATATTCTGTATATATATATTGTAAAAAGCAATCGTTAAATAAATCAATCGTATTTTTTTCGTGGATACAAATAATACAAAATCAATCAAATCGACTAAAAATAAAAAAATATATAAATTATATATATATATATACAGTAAAAATTTAGCTCAAAATTTAAATATATATAAATATATTGGCAACCAATTTGCTAGTTTATTGTGGGGACCTCTCTCTCTCTCTCTCTCTCTCTCTCTCTCTCTCTCTCTCTCTCTCTCTCTCTCTCTCTCTCTCTCTCTCTCTCTCTCTCTCTATAAATCTATCCAAATGTATAGTTTTGCAAGCAATTGATCTCTGGCCATACCTAATGGGCCCCAATGGTGTTTTGGGGCACATACAGATAGATACATACACACACACACACACACACACAGCATGTTTATAATACATTTTGATGATGATTGAGTGGCACAGTCACCATTACCACCACTACCACCATCACCACCACTGGAGTGGACTGGGGGTATCCAACAAAGTCATATATCAATACCATTGTAAACAACATCTTACACATACACATACCGTCACCGTCAGCAGCATAGGCAGCAGCGGCAGCAACCACTGGGGCTAATTCATATGAAAAAAAACTAACAGCACTGGCATTGCTGGTGTTAGTGGTAATAATGGTAAGGCTGTGTGTGTGTGTGTGTATGAGTGAGTGGTATGTGTATAGTGAGAGCTGTCAAAAAGGTTACAACCCATGCCATTCATCATCAGTACCGGTGCCTGTATTGTCTACCATCATAGTCGTCGTCATCATCATCAACATCGGGCTAAACAAATGTGTGTACTCTCTCTCTCTCTCTCTCTTTGCTCTCTCTCTCTCTCTCTCTCTCTCTCTCTCTCTCTCTCTGCTCTGCTCTCTCTCTCACTTAATCACCCGTTCCTTGAGATATATTAGATACACACCATTTAAAAGCCTCAGGTGTTGTTGTATTGTGTAGTACTGTATAATATATATGAGAGAGAAGTAATGATTTTTCTTATTTTTTTTTTTTTTTTGGTTGGCTTTCACTTCATTTCTCTCATCTCATTCTTCATGACTTTTCGGGGAGTTTTTGTACACTAAATACTAAGGGTTTCCGAGAAATATATATATCTTTCTCTATATATATAACATAACTTAGCAAATAATTTATCCCTTTTTTTTATAATGAGAGGCCACAGGAGGGCTACCTGTGCGCACCGCTTAACTATATATATATTATATACTATTAGTCAGTCAAGTATAATGAGTGAAACAGTTAGTTATGGTGGTTGTGGTGTCGGGAGGACACAGACATACAGAAGTTTTTCTATGAAAATCAATGTTTGTGTTTGACTTTTTGCTCTCTCTCTCTCTCTCTCTCTCTCTCTCTCTCTCTCTTCTCTTTCACATCTGTAAGACGACTGACAACTCAAAAGACATATATATAAATATATAATCAAATGAATCAAATGATATCTTACTGTCTGTCAAATGACTGGTCAGATCCCGGAGCTGACTGACTACTGATTCAAACAAACATATGGTTATTACAGAAACGGAAAGGCATATACAGTAGACTATTAGTGTTATAATTAGATGGACGACATAACAGCCATATTTTTAGCTACAAAAATGTGTAATAAAAAAATATTTAAATATCAATTGCTATTGTGTTTTGTGTATTTATTTTGCTTGTGTTTAAAAACATATGCAAATAGTAATCATAGAAATACATACATATATATACACACATAGTATATACTGTAAATGCAAATCACAAAAATATAAGCCAAAACTATACCTAAAAATCGGCATAAATTATGGGCTAATATAATATTTTTGTTGTTTGTATCACTTGTATTATTATGTATATGGTATAGGAGGTTGGTATATTTGGATGGCAGTAAGGGGGGTGGGGTAGGGGAACGGTATGTATAGATTGATAGGGTACCACACCATCACCACACCATACAATATTGGCAAGCAATTGGACATCAATCAAATAATAGGCCATTTTTCCACTCACTCTCTCTCTCTCTCTAAGTGCTAATCATTTATTTTATTATTACTACTAAATCCTTATTATTAAACTGTAATACCGTATATATAATAATCCCTTAAAATACATGTACACACACACACACATCAATTGGGGGGAACGGTAGAAGAAAAAAAAATCGTGAACAACCATTGGTTTCGGTACATCCATCACTTAGATTATTCCCCATTTATACATACTGTTTCCCAATAATATTTAAATGCTACCCGAGCTGTCCTCCTCCTCCTCTTATTTTTCCTCCATATTCCTAAACATCCGAAACAATTCCTAGAAATTCCAACAAAACATATGAAACATTATTTTATTTTATTTTTCTGGCTCTCATTTGGCGGCTACTCCACGCCCACCCATCACATCCCTGTGCTTAACTGCTACCCGGGTGTTTTTATGTCATTTATATATATGATATATTTATGTACATGAATTCACTATTATCATCATCATCATCATCATTATGGTCATCAATTATCGCTTATATTAAATGTCTTATAAATCGATGTTTAACTACAAAAATTCAACAAAAAAAAATTTTTTTTTGTTGTGAACATATATTTTTCAAAAAGTCAAACGAAAATATATATTGACTTTAAATTACTTTTAAAGAGAGAGAGAGAGAGAAACTAATGAGAAAAATGGAGTTTTAAGTGAATATATAATAGAGAGTTAAACACTATATATATATAAGATGAATGAGAGTGAGTGAGTGAGTGAGTGAGTGAGTGAGTGAGTGAGTGAGTGAGTGAGTGAGTGAGTGAGTGAGTGAGTGAGTGAGTGAGTGAGTGAGTGAGTGAGTGAGTGAGTGAGTGAGTGAGTGAGTGAGTGAGTGAGTGAGTGAGTGAGAGAGAGAAAGTGAGAGAAAGAGAGAGAGAGAGAGAGAGAGAGAGAGAAAGAGAGAGWGAGAGGACAGCCCTAATCACCCAACCTATCAATAAATTAACAAAAAATAATAATAATAATAATGTTTTGTGTGTTGTTTAGTCGTGGGTTAACATTAATAATATTGTAATAATAATAATAATAATAATAATAATAATAATAATAATAACATGTGTGGATTATTTATGACATGTAATAATTTTTGTTGCAAATAATAATAATTTCTATTTATTATTATTTTGGCGCCCAGTGATTAACCTTGAACATTTTTTTTCCAAAAAAATAAAAATAAAAATTTATATATATAATAAAATCTATAGCATTTAATAATAATAATTATTATTATTATTAATAAGATTTATATACA